CCAGAGAGAGACAAGAGCGAGAGTGAGACCAGAGAAAGAGACCTGAGAGAGACCTGAGAGAGAGAGAAAGCGAGAGAGAGAGAGAGAGATTTTTCCATTGGCCAAACCTGTTAATCTGTTAATATTTTACTTGTATTTTACATGTTTTTGCAAGGGGCGACAGTAGCTCAGTTGGTAGAGCATTGGCCTTAAGGCCAGAAGGTCGTGGGTTCAAGCCCACCACGGGACCTTCTCCACCGACTCCCACTGACGACTGCTGTCGTTGTGTCCTTGGGCAAGACACTTAACCCCACTTTGCCCAAAAGCCCCCACTGAAAGATCAAGGCTATGCTCACACTCAGAGAGCAGCCGTCCTCCTGTGGACTCACCACCTGCAGAGGGTCAGTGAGGGGCTGGTGCTATGAGACTTGGGTGGCATCTCTGATTGCCACCCCCCTGACCCAGAAATGGATTAAAGGGTAGAAAATGGATGGATGGATGTTTTTGCAGTGTATCTTTAGAGGACCCTCATTTTAACATTGCTACAATACTCACAGACCTGGAGTCAATTTTAGCTCCATCCACGCACACAAACTCATCCCCTCTCCTCTTCTGTTGAATGCGGAGTGAGAATTTCTCCGAAGGTCATTCTGGGATATCACCCTATTACGGAATGTTTTCTCAAGATCATGTTTCAGGACTTTTACTAATAAAACATATACATTTGTCATTTCTATATCATTTAAAAAATGTTTTTAATTAATTTGTTTCTTCTCAAACAAAACAGATTCTGCTGGACGTTATCGCCTCGCTCCAAACTGCTGAAAATATTTGTCATTTTAGTTTCATTTACGTAATGATTTTATTGCTTTGTCGAAGGGAGAGTCCTGTTTTATTTTCACACACACAGTTCTATTGGAATGAGGAAATAGAAAATACATGTTTGACATTAAAGTGGAGACAAAACAGATGGAAACATGAATGAAAACAAACCAGGACTCAATTCAAAAGAAGGATGCAACACAAAGGCCTGAAAAACACTGAAAAAGATTTGAATTTTGAACTGAAAAGAAGTTTATAAAGATTGACCTGTGAATCTTGATTTGTGAGGGCTGTAAAGCAATGAAGAGACAAAATATGGAATTTAATCGTATCTAATTTGAAATAAAAAAAACATGGGTTTTTTTTATCCTAATTGGGCTGGGTGGATAGCACTTTTGCTTCTCAGCAAGAAGGTCCTGGGTTCGAAATCCGGTCGGAACAGGACCTTTCTGAGTGGAGTTTGCATGTTCTCCCCATGTCTGCGTAAGTTTCCCCGAGGTGCTCCGGTTTCCCTTACCACTAAAAATATGTACAATAGATCTGGCATGTGCCTCCTGTACTGGCGACCTCACTCCCATCTCTGTGTGGAGTGAGAGACAAAAAATAACAATTGTAAACCGGTTGGGACTATGGTCTGATAAGGGCCATAAATAAAGATTACTTACTTACTTACTTAATTCTGTTGGAAAATAAATTTGCATTTCCCTTAAACAGAGATCCCGAGGCACTTGGCTAACACATACGCAGACCCAGGACTGATGCTTTAGACCAGGGGTGTCAAACTCATTTTGGTCCGGGGGCCACATACAACCTAATCTGATCTCAAGTGGGCCGGACCAGGAGATGCTCTACAAAAATATCCAAAAACGGTACAAAGTCCAACTTTTTGTGCACATAAACACATTTATTTAAAACTTCCTTTAAAACACTATCCTTTAATACTCAGTTTTCTGTTACAAACTTAAATGTAACAGTGAGTTTTCCATAGTGCAAATAATGTAATGTATTTACAATATTACATTCAAAATGGTATTTCACAATATGTATATTAATATTTGTATGTTAGCTTTGTTTTAAGGCTCATTACAGAGAAAACCTGCTCACAAAGGTAAAGTAGGTAGATAGAAAAAAGCACTTAAACACAGCACCTCAGCTTAACCATCTTCAGTGTGGTAAGGTCCATGGTTATGTTATTATCACATTAACCATCTTCAGTGTGGTAAGGTCCATGGTTATGTTATTATCACATTAACCGTCTTCAGTGTGGTCAGGTCCATGGTTATGTTATTATCACATTAACCATCTTCAGTGTGGTACGGTCCATGGTTATGTTATTATCACATTAACCATCTTCAGTGTGGTAAGGTCCATGGTTATGTTATTATCACATTAACCACCTTCAGTGTGGTAAGGTCCATGGTTATGTTATTTCACATTAACCATCTTCAGTGTGGTACGGTCCATGGTTATGTTATTATCACATTAACCATCTTCAGTGTGGTAAGGTCCATGGTTATGTTATTATCACATTAACCATCTTCAGTGTGGTAAGGTCCATGGTTATGTTATTATCACATTAACCATCTTCAGTGTGTAAGGTCCATGGTTATGTTATTATCACATTAACCATCTTCAGTGTGGTAAGGTCCATGGTTATGTTATTATCACATTAACCATCTTCAGTGTGGTAAGGTCCATGGTTATGTTATTATCACATTAACCATCTTCAGTGTGTAAGGTCCATGGTTATGTTATTATCACATTAACCATCTTCAGTGTGGTACGGTCCATGGTTATGTTATTATCACATTAACCATCTTCAGTGTGGTAAGGTCCATGGTTATGTTATTATCACATTAACCACCTTCAGTGTGGTCAGGTCCATGGTTATGTTATTATCACATTAACCATCTTCAGTGTGGTACGGTCCATGGTTATGTTATTATCACATTAACCATCTTCAGTGTGGTAAGGTCCATGGTTATGTTATTATCACATTAACCATCTTCAGTGTGGTAAGGTCCATGGTTATGTTATTATCACATTAACCATCTTCAGTGTGTAAGGTCCATGGTTATGTTATTATCACATTAACCATCTTCAGTGTGGTAAGGGCCATGGTTATGTTATTATCACATTAACCATCTTCAGTGTGGTCAGGTCCATGGTTATGTTATTATCACATTAACCATCTTCAGTGTGGTCAGGTCCATGGTTATGTTATTATCACATTAACCATCTTCAGTGTGGTCAGGTCCATGGTTATGTTATTATCACAGAGAAAGCATCAAACTGACCATGATTCAGTTGAAATGAATAAAACAACTTCCATAACGTGATCCATTCTTAACGACTGCAGCAGTGTCTCTGTGTAAAATACAGTCAAATGTCCAAAAATCATCACCTCCATTTGCAGCTTTGTCACTACACCTGTTTTTACCATCGGTACCAGGCGCAGGACCAGTCCACACTGTCCAACACACCAGCAACAACAGCAGAACCAGCAGCAGCACCAGCAGCAGCGCTCAAAACTCCTCTGATAGTTTCAGTAACACCACAAATGAATATGTGACATCAGTAACATCAGTCTCTTATCAATGGCAACATGTTGGTAAAAGCGAGTGGTTTCTCAGACCATGTCTGCAGCCTGTGAGAGTTTTAACAAACTCTCTCACTGTGCGGCTGCGATGCTAATGCTAATGTTGTTAGCACAGGTAGCTTCCCTTTACAGCAGCAGCACTAACCTCTCGCTCTGGGCACAAACAGACTACTGTGTCTTCAGGGCCAGACAGGTTTATCTTCTGTTTTCTCAATTCTTCGCTCAAAGTGCCGTATTTTTCGCCGACTCTTGTAGTTTAAGATGTTATTCCTTCAGCACCGCTCTGGTGGAGCCACTACAGACGCACTGGACTCACCCCTGAAGGGCTCGACACACGAGAGGCGACATCGCATCGCCTCCATTCATTTTCAATGGGACGTGCGCGACATAGCGTCAATCGCTAGCGAGCCTCCTGCTCAGCGACGGGCAAAAAACGTGCGTGTGAAATCCTCCCGCTCGTGCATGTATCGTGCACGCGCAGGTCAGCGACGCGATCCCAGAAAGTTGAAATCGGCTCAACTTTTCGACGCTGTCGTCAAGCCGCATCGCGCCCCGTCTGTCATGTTATCTGAGCGACAGCGTTGAGTTTCGCTGATCGCTCTCATTTGTCGCCTCCCGTGTGTCAAGCCCTTGAGCGCGGCGCTGCGGCGTCGCGGCGCCTCGCGGCGCGGAACCTCGCGTCGCCTTGCGTCGCGGAGCGGCTTTTTAAAATGTAACTTTATTATATTTTTACATAAATGAGCCACGGGCCGTGTCAAATCTCTTGGCGGGCCGGTTCCGGCCCGCGGGCCGTATGAATGACACCCCTGCTTTAGACCCAGGACTGAGGCTATAGATCCTGGACTGATGTTGTAGACCTAGGACTGAGGCTATAGATCCAGGACTGAGGCTATAGATCCAGGACTGATGCTGTAGACCTAGGACCGAGGCTATAGATCCAGGACTGAGGCTGTAGATCCAGGACTGATGCTGTAGACCCAGAACTGAGGCTGTAGATTCAGGACTGAGACTGTAGACCCAGAACTGAGACTGTAGATCCAGGTCTGAAGGCTGCAGATCCAGAGTGGAGTAACTATTTGACTCTTTGGGATGAGAGCTGATAGGCTGAGGGGGGGCCTCTCTTTTTGTAAGTGAGGTACCCCAGTTTTAAACACTGCGTGTGCACAAACACAGAAAGTACACATATGCTTGAAGTTTTTATTCTCATTTAAGTGCATTTTTCACTGATGACACGGCAATGGAACCAGCGCTCAGAGTGTGGGGGTCCCCTCAGCCCGGCTTGTTAAACACCGGAGCAGGACAGGAGAGAAGCAGGAGGAGGAGGAGGAGGAGAAATGGGGCAGAGACACATCCTGAGGTGGGAGGATCTCTCATTCCTCTCCCCGATCAGCACACGCATCCAGCACTGCACACACACGGCCACGGAGCTAGACACTACTACTATTACTACTACCACTACATCTACTACTGCTACTGCTACTGCCACAAAGCTTTGACCTGATGGCTGTTTTGCAATAGAAGAAGACCGGCTCTCAATTTGAAGGAACTTGCGAGGAATGGCAAACTCTAAAGTCTCACTGGAAGCGTCCCACTGATGACAATGGCTGAGGTGAGTTTATTTAAGTTCATGAAGGGATTATGAGCGTAGAAAACCCTCGTGTGTCAATAGCTTTGGTTTAGAGTTTTAGATTTCTATAAGAAACTTGAAGCTTTGTCTGCACCAACAAAAGTTGTGATCAGTTGGAGATGACACTCACTTTTATAGCTTTGATGAGAATGCTGTTTTCTAGAGCAGCTTTAACTTCAGCCTAAATAATAGGAGAAATTTGAAATTTAAACTGGTTTTAATAATAAATCTGTGAGGGTTTTGAACACAAGAGGCAGCTGTAAAAGTGAAATATGGATAGAATTCTGCAGAATAACTACTACAGTAGGTAACTAGTTTTGTCTTATTCTTAAGATTTTTTTTATTATTATAGTATATTGTGTATGTCTTTATCAAACCAGTGCAGCAAGAAGTGAATCCTATTTCAATGTTTTTAAAGTGAGAAGACAAGCACACTTTTAAATCCACCATTTTTGTTTTAACTTCTCTAAACAAATGAAAAAGACAGACTTCAAACTAAAACTGTTTTAAGTCTGTGACTTTCACTTTTAATACAGTAAATGACTTTTTTTTTTGAGAGAAGTTTGTCAGAACAAAAAAAGAGAGAAAAAAGTCACACTTTTTAGTGTTTTAACGTCTGAACAAATGATCTGTTTTTGTGTTTTTTTTCTCTAAAAGACTTTACATGATTCTTATATTGTTATAGCTCTTTACAATCAATCATAATCAATTTTTATTGTGAGGATCTGGAGCGTTGGCTTTGGGAACGCTCACATTTATCAAGTCACTGTTGCTTTGTCTAAAACTGTTGTGTTTGATTGTGCACTTTTGCAAAATCCCATAAAAATGTTGTTTAAATTACAAATGATATAGTACAGTAGTACAGTTTATTCTGGCCGCTCCCCTGGCCGCTTCCCTGGTGTGTACGAATAGCACATAGCTCAAACATCTTTATTAGTACTATTATCATTTCGCAAGTCTCTGTGTGTGTGTGTGTGTGTATATATATATGCAAATGTAGCAGAATATTTTGATTATACATGTATGTATATATATATATATATATAATCAAAATATTCTGCTACATTTGCAGATATACTACACATTTCCTCTCACAATTTTTCCCGTTTTTCCTTTGAATCTCTATTCGATAAGTTTGATTTGAGTGTTTTTTGTTTGTTTTTTTTTCATAAAAAATAAGGCATTGTGTGTTCAGTTACAACCAGCGATATTGACTCTTGAAAAAATAAGGCTGGGAGCACAGAGGAAGTATGTAGTGAGGAAAAACACTGATGGAAATATAACTTAACACAATTCAATTCAATTTATTTGTGTCTTGCCCTAAATCACAACAGCAGTTATCTTTGAGGACTTTACAAAGTTGTGGATTCACCAAAAACAAATCGGAGAATCAAACAGTTCAAACACAGGAAATGCACTAGTAGAACACATGTAGGAACCACTGGTCCATAAGAAGCGGGATGACCACTGTCCAGAAACATTGATGAATGTGTAGAAGTCTCCCGGATCACCACTGTCCAGACCCTCCTGCATCAGAGAGGAACATTCAGAAACATTTTATTATATAATTATTAGCTCATGCTACAGTTTTTAATTGTTCTGTTGAAAGTCTGCTCCAAACGAATGATAACCATTAGATCTTTCATGATGAGAAGCTGTTGGTTTAATGTAAACTGTTTTACTGCTTTGTCCCAGATTCAGAAACATGTATTTGAATCAATCTATAGATGTATGATTATGTTGTTCTGAAGTTCTGAAGCATAGTACTGAAAAACCTGCACTACTATTGTCACTGTTTCTTGATTGCCACTTTTGAATTGCCACTTTTTTTTATTGTTCATAATATATCCTGCATTTATCATGTTTGCACATTTCTTTCTTCTGCACAATCTTGAAGGTTTCTATCCATGCCAGATGTGACAACAAAATTTCTCCTGTGTGAGATCAATAAAGTCTATCTTATACTTACATTTTTTAAATCAAACTATTCACAGAAAAATAATAACACAAGAAATAGATGTGTTTCTTCTGCTGGATTTCTTCCTCTACTTTAATTAGAAGACGATTCACAGTCATATTACTACAAGCTACAGGCTACTGCTGTAGTTAGAGCTTATAGTTCAAACAAATCAAAACAAATCATAATAACAATAATTATATTATTATCAATAATAATGATACATCCATCCATCCATCCATTTTCTACCCTTTAATCCATTTCTGGGTCAGGGGGGTGGCAGTCAGAGATGCCACCCAAGTCTCATAGCACCAGCCCCTCACTGCCCCTCTGCAGGTGGTGAGTCCACAGGAGGATAATGATACATATTTATTTAAATAGTAAAAAACAATTATTACAAAGTGATCAACAAGCCAATAAAACAATAATTGTATAATACAATATATATATATATATATATTTACAAAATAAGAAGATTCTGTTATCTAAAACATTTCTCTGAAATGACTGAGGCCTGACAGTTTTCTAGAACTTTCAAAAACTAAAACCTGATGGTTGAAACTGAGGAAAAAAAACATTTAAAACAATAATGATGGTGGTGCCTTTTCCTCCGCCGTCTGAGCGTGAGTGAATGCGTTTCACTGAGCGTGGATAGACTGACCACCAGAGGGCGCTGTTCTAGATCCGCGACCAGGAGAAAGTGCTGTGTTTCCACTGTTATCTGAGAGTGATGAGGAGAGATATTAGTCTGATTTCGAACAGTAACTGCATCAGAACAAAATGTAATTTAATTTTTTTGTTGTGAAAACTATTTATACAAAATTAAAAAGGCATCGAACGGTTTTATTTTTTCAATCGATGGCTGGAGTCACACACACGACACACACAACATTTACTCTTTTTTTTTTCCAACATTCATTTTTATCAATTCAATTCAAGGTATACATGTCTCGCCCAAATCACAACGGCAGTTGTCTCAGATAACTTTACAAAGTGTAAACTGTGTAGACCACTGTCCAGAAATATTCCATTATGGGCTGCAGAAATGTCCTGGATCATCTCTGTCCTTAGAACCTCCTGCATTAGAGAGAAACAACCCAGAAACCCAAGACTGAGGACCAGTCTGCAGGACTGGATCCTCAGTCCTGTAGATCCAGGAGTGAGGCTGTAGATCCGCTGAGCTGGGGGAGACAGTCTACAGGTAAAGAGAATGAATTTGGGGGTCCTAAGTGTTTGCAAGTTTCTATTTTTTTTATATGTTCAATTATTGCTAACTATGATTTTGTTTAAAAGCACACGTTCTAACACAAACACTACATAAACTAGTATATTTTTATTTGAAATTATTTGGGAACAGGATGCTTTCAGTTGTGTTTGTTCACTGAACCTGAGAATTCTTGACCGATCTTAACATGTATTTTGCGTTTGTTTATTTAAATGGATCCTATTAGCTAAGATTTTGCCATCAGCTTCTCTTCTGGGTTCATCAATTAAAGAAAAAAGAAAAAGTGACAAGCAAAATATCACATCTTTTTGTTCTGTCGAGCCGGAATTCTGCAGAGGACAAAAGTCTTCATTTATAAATGTGTGTTTTTGTCTTTAGAGAAAAAACTAAAATCCTCGAATGAGTAGAAAGAACATTTTAGCGAGAGATTATTAAAACATTTTTGATCATTCTCAACAGATTATTTATGAAGAGTGGATGAGACAACAATCTCTCGCTGCATTTCCAAATGTAAATATAACATCTGGGTGAAAAGCACAAATCCGATTATTGTGAGAGTTTTGTGTTTCGATCTCTCTATATAAGAAAAGACCAGGATTTAAACACAGAGTTTCTTCACATTATTAAAATGCCAGACAAATTATTTACATGTATAGAGACACAGTTTCCAGAGAAATACTGTACTGTCATGTTACAGTATACATCCCATTGTTTGGTTTGGCTTCACCGGCTTCACCAGAGACCTGTTCTCCGGCAGAAACTTGGCCTTGAGCCCTTCCCTTCTCCTCATGAACTCCCTCTGTGAGTTTTTTTTACTTTCCCAATATATCCATTATTTTTCTAATATCACCCAAAAACGTCTGTAATGGAAACGGATGCGCTCTCACAGAATCTGCTTTATCTGTATTTCCTATTAAGTCATAGTTTAAACGCAGTCAAATGCTCTTCCGATCCTTTCAATATACATTTATTTTCGTATTTTGGCAAAACACTGCATTTTGATCATCCCCATTCATACAGCAGCACACACAACCAAGCACTGTATTCTCCCTCATCTCTCCTTTCTCACATTGGATATAACCTATTACCACTGTAAACAATTAATATAAGTCTAAATAAATACAATGAAATACATGTTTATGATTGATAATTGCAGTTTAGTATAGGGACATTATGGACTGGGTAATTTTTTGCAAATGCTGTTGTAGTGGTCATTTTCTCTTGTAGTTCCCACTTTTTTAATTGTCACTGTGTTTTCTGCAGGATTCATTTTCATTCAATTTAGCTTAAATCCCAAACTATATTTTCTTTTAGCTCCAAGCTGAAGCTGACAGTTATTCTGATAAATGGTTAGAACAGGAATATTATTATGTTGCTCAATTTGACCCATGACTACGCTGAAGCTGAAGCCACCGGAGCAGACCATTTTAAAGATGTTGTGTTGTTTATTATTTATTTCAAATATGCAAAATACACACACACACACACACACACACACACACACACACACCACACACACACACACACATACACACACAGACATATAGGCACACACATACATACACAGACACACAGACAGACATATAGGCACACACATACATACATACATACACAACCATTGAAACACTGCGATAATGATAAATAATTTCTATCACAACTCAAATCACACTAGGACTTTAAGATCACAAATAATCCCAGTGCATTAAAAATACTGTAACTACAAGCTCAGCGCTCCCTCCATATTTTCCTCTGTGTTTTATGTACCGCTCCCGGTTCTCATCAGACAAACCGCTCCGGATCTCCTGCCACTTAACACTTGTCGTCAATTATCAATTTACTGCCACATCACACAGCACGCAGGAGCCGGGGGGGCATGGGCTAAGGGCTGGGGGCCCGGGGGGGAGGGGGGCACAGCGGGGGCCAGTCGTACCAGGAACACTGTCCTCCCACGGAATTCCACACACGGATCCTGACGAATGCCCATGGAGCAGAGGAGAGGAGGGAGTGAGGGGGGCAAGAAGTGAACAGAGATGAGATTATGCTGGAGATTTTAAAATAACAGTATTTAGATCTGGAGAGACCCAGACAAATGGATTATCTGAACAGTATTGATTGGTTGCCATAGCAATCTGTCACTACATAAATCAGAACATGAGACTCGGCAGACATTAAATGTAAGAATATAGTTACGATATGGCGCTTAGACCCTGGCAGAGCCCTGAGAATACCTGGCCAATCCTCTTCTGCCAAAAATTGAATAATTAAGGCTAGTATTATTAGTCATATTTTTTATCATTGGTTCATAATCTCTATTCAGAAATATATTCTGCAAATTTACAGCATTTTCAAACAGGCCGAAGCTGTTCCAGTCTGAGGGAGAGAGGCATTTAAATCTGAATTTCTTTTTTGATTCTAGAAACTACAACAAAATAATATTTGGGTGAAGCAAATGCAAACACTCAGCTGCATCAAGCTTTCATTTGTGCTGCAACCCTCCTCCTCCCCATCACTGCCTCATCCCAGCTCTTTTACCCTCCTCGTAGCTTCCACCACCAGGGTCTAGACTTCGGGGGGTTTCATCTTAAATCTAGAGACATGGGTTTTATGACAGTACTTTTTGTGGGGTTAGATACATTTTCTCGGTCACCAGTGCTTTTAAACGTGCTTGGTTCTAGCTCTCTCCATAGCTGCCCCCGACTCCAATAGCCAAAGACAACTGTAACTACAACATCTGTACTTTTGAGATGTCGTCGTTTCGGTACCAGAACAAGAAGCTCAATCTCCAGCCCTACATTTCACTGGTGTTGCAGATACTTTGGTGCTGGATTTCTAACAGACTCTCAATTGAAAGCTTGTATTAAAAGCTTCTGCAGACGCCTCACCTTTGACCCCACCTCAAATACAGAAGACCACAATCCAGTCTGTGTGTGTAATTGCTGAAAATCCAAGTTATATGCCTCTGCTAGTCAGTCCATTCTCTGCACATGCTTTCAGTCCCAAAAGGGCAAAGATCTCACATATTTTGAGTTTGTGTGAGTTTATGGTTGCAACAAATGCAGAGGAAGTGAAAAGTTTAAAAGGATTAAAAGAACACAGACCGACCTGAGGAGTTATAGAACTCAGAACTACAGAAATGTTTATTTTTAAGAGTTGGATCTTAAAGGGCTGACCGATGCACTAGTCAAAGAAACAGTTCACTATAGGAAAGATATACTGTATGTAGGTGGTTGCCATGTTTCCTTCTGTTGCCTCAGGGCAGCTGTGGCTTTCATAAGTTGTGTGGTATTACTGTGTTGGGATGGATAGTGAGTTAGGAACGCCCCGTAATTAAAAAAATATGTGTTTTGTTAAATGTCTTTTGTTAAATGCCTTTTTTTGGGCCAGGTCTGAATCTCTGTCGGAACATGGTCTTTCTGAGTGGAGTTTGCATGGTCTCCTAGTGTCTGCTCCAGTTTCCTCCAGGTGCTCCGGGTTTCCCCCACCACTAAATACATGTACAATGGTTCCTCCTCTCTGAGCCCAGGGCTCTGAAAGCTTACATAAGTCATTAATAATAATAACTCTGAAACCCACGGATCCGTCTTGTAACAAGACTGACGACTGGAAAAGCCACTCAGTCACTATTTGCAGCTTTGGGTTGAGAGCTGGATTATAGTGTTTACAGTATAACATATAGTAGAACATATACACAGTTGTTATTCGGCGTGTTGTTTGCGGCCCTTTGTCCCATGGCGAGTGTGCGGTTTGTTTCTGCTCTTTGTGATCAATAATCACATTAATATTGGATGATGTTGAAGCTGGGACTCCCCAGGCCTTGAACGTACGAGCGAAAAGAGACAAAAACACTAGATTCTAACAATAGTAACAATAACAGTGTGTGCTGAGAGATCACTGGTCCATTGTCAGAACCATGACACATTAGGCTAGATAGTTGCTTAAAACAGGAAGTAGTATGGAGTAAATGAATAATGACATTTGAGCGTCCAAAAAAGCGCTATAAAAAACCAATGCATTATTATCTTTAGATCAGCTTTTTCAGACGGAAAACTGAAAAAGAGAGGACCACCCTCACTCAGCCATTCAGCTCTCAGCCCAAAGAGTCAAATACTGACTCTTATGAATATGAAAGCCCTTGGACGTTGGAGTCGAGGTATAGTTCTTAACACCGGAATAGAAAATTGTCAGATGAAATAAAATAACTCTTCTGGCCCCCCCAAATGTTTCTTGTATTTTTGTGCTTTTTTTAAATATATCTTATATATATATTTGTCTGATGAAGACTTTGCACATGTACTCCAATATGATTTGACTGCAAATGACAAAATAAATTTAATCTGAAGCTTGATCTATAAGCCCTGTTTCCACCAGCCCTGCTCTGCGTTACTCTACTGTAATTTACGCTGTTCTGCTCTGCTCTGCGGTAATATTTCAGTGAACAAGCTTCATTTCTGTGGGCATTAGAGTCGCTGATTTAAGTTTAGTTTATTTTGTCATCAGAAAAAAAACCAGCATTGCTTTTATAGAATTGTATAGATACTCGTTGTGCGTCAGGTTGTGCGTCAGGTTGTGTGTGAGGTTGGGTTTTCAGGTTGTGTTGTGGTGGCGGTGTGTGAGGAGTGTGTGTCGGACTCTGGCTGAAAACAGATCATTTAGTTCAATTATCGCTGCTGTCTGTGGATGAGCAGTCAGGCTTTAATGTGACAATAGGAGACGGAGAGAGGGGAGGGAGAGAGAGGTTTCCCCTACCACTAAAAATATGTACAATAGGTCTGGCATGCGCCTCCTGTTCGGCGACCCCGCTCCCATCTCTGTGTGGAGTGAGAGGACAAGTGCCCAAAAAAATAACAATTGTAAACCGCTTTGTGACTCTGGTCTGTGAAAGGCGGTATATAAATAAAGCTTACTTACTTAGGGGAGAGAGGAGAGAGGAGAGGGGGGAGAGGGGAGAGGAGCGAGAGGAGGCAGAGCAGCGAGAAAGAGGAGAGAGGGAGGGGAGAGAGGAGGTCACAGAGGAGAAAGGAGTGAGGGGAGGTCACGAAGGAGAGAGGAGAGAGAGAGATCCAGCCCAAAGAGGCCTGTAGTAACATGGCTTTCTATTCAATATTGACTTTTACCCTTTAAATATGATTCATAGGGATGTGTGTGAGTTGTGTTTAAGTCTCTTTAAACACTGTGTTACTGGCCACCTCTGTGTTTAGGGGAGTCCTGCTGGGACGGGGTACAGAACAGAGCCGTACATGACAGGCGTGTGTTTGGCGAGCAGCAGGGGGTGAGGGGGGGGTCCCACACGGGGATAGGATTAGGCTAATTGAGCCGTGTTGGCTCTGTGTGCTGCGTAATGATGGGATTATGTGGGAGAAGGAGAGCGGTAGAGGGAAGGAGAGAGAGATGGAGACAGAGAGAGAGCTAAGGGGCCGCTCACCTCGGGCCTGTCCTGAGGAGGGGGCTATGGTCACGGGACAAAAGGACAAGACGGTGTCCAGCTGCGAACCAATCAGACCAATTAGAGCTCTCTGTGTTGGATTACCCCCAGTCACCCCCACAAAGAGCAGAGTAACCCCTAGAGTCATCCCAAGTCACAGAGACCATCTTTATGAATCATATTTAAAGAGATAAAGTCAACATTGAATAGAAAGCCATGTTAGTTACTATATGCCTCTTTGGGCTCCCAGCTTTCTTTCTCTCCCTCTCTCTCTCTCTCTCTCTCTTCTGTGACCTCCCCTTTGCATCCTTTAATTGAACTGTTTCGCTGCAACAACTGAAGGATTGTATGTTCACTCTTTTTAACACTAGAACTTCCAGAGCAGTCAATTTGACGGCTTAAGATTTTGGAAGTGTATTGACTCAGCTTGTGTACATTTGTGTTAGCTAAAATACAAATTTCAATCCTTTTTTGCAAGGCTCTGGTTCTGAACTGGTGCAGGGTCTACTTGGTTTTCCACCAGAGAAAAGACCCAGTGTTTCTGCTGTATTTCAAGTTATATTCACATATTTTAGCAGTTGCTCCCATTCTAGCCCTTATAGCTTGAATGGGAGCAGTTGAGAGCGTTATTGCACTATACTTATCAATTTTAATGTTTCTCTTCTTGTTTTGTTCAGCACTTTGAGTTACCTTGTTTGTGAACTGAGCTATACAAATAAACTTTCCTTTTGTGCTCAGGCGATCTGCTGCACGTTGGTGAACTGTAACTGTGACAGCTTCATACCGGGGAAGCTGAAGAGGAGGCAGTGCGACAGCTGCAAACATGGATGGGTTGCTCACGGTGAGGGATTCTATTTCTCCCTGATCTAGAACAGAACAAATGCTCCTCAGACATGCACTCAAGTATTCATCTAGGTTCTTCCACTCAATCCATTACCGGGTCGCGGGGGCAGCAATATAAGCAGAGATGCTCAGACTTCCCCCTCCACACACAAATGCTCCAGCTCATCCGGATGAATCCTGAGGCATTCCCAGGCCAGCTGAGAAAAATCGTGTGGAGTCCTTGTCCCCGGAATCACATCCTTTTGGTCATTACCCAAAGCTCATGACCAGATGTGAGCTCCCCTTCCCTCCCTCTCTCTCGGGCGGCACGGTGGCTGAGTGGATAGCACTCTCGCCTCTCAGCAAGAAGGTCCTGGGTTCGAATCCTGGTCGGACCAGGGCCTTTCTGAGTGGAGTTTGCATGTTCTCCCCATGTCTGCGTAGGTTTCCTCCGGGTGCACCGGTTTCCCCTACCACTAAAAATATGTACAATAGGTCTGGCATGCGCCTCCTGTTCGGCGACCCTGCTCCCATCTCTGTGTGGAGTGAGAGACAAGTGCCCAAAAAAAATTAACAATGGTAAACCGCTTTGTGACTCTGGTCTGTGAAAGGCGGTATATAAATAAAGATTACTTACTTACTTACTTACTCTGGTAGAGCTCTGACTGTAGACGCTGCTCTCTCATCCTCACAACATACAGCAACCAATGCAAAAGCACTCGGCCAAAACAATTGAGCTGTAGCTTGATTACCTCTAAATGAGAGACTTTGTGGCACCACCTGCAGGGGTGGTGCCACAGACCTTAGAAGCTAAACATGGAAGAGCCTGGTTAGTACTGTGATGGGAGAATGCGTCACTTCTTGCTTTATTACTGGACTCCTTTGTGAAGCACAGGCCAATGATCTGAAAGGGAAGACATGTTGGAGACCTAGGGCTTGACTGGGTCAGGAGCATTTAGACAGGAACCTGATATATTTGCGTGGATGGATTTAAAGCAACTCCAGGTCTTTTTGTTATGATGCAAAATGTTTTAACATGGCTTAAAAAGTTCAAAAAGAGATGTACATGTATGTCTCCTTTAAATGACTTGGATCAGGGTAAAAAAGTGTTCCTAATAATTGTTAAACCACACATACACAATCTTTCAAAAGGATTTCAAACTTGTTTTGTACATATTGCAAAACCCCTCCCCTCTGGCGCCTCATGCATTTTTAACACTCTACATCTTCTTTTTTTGTCCCCGCTGCACGGCCCAGTCTCCAGTCCCAGTGTGGAGCCTGGGGGACCTGTCCACTCTCTCTGCTGTAACCCTGCCTGTGTGTGTGTGTGCGTTTGTGTGTCTCTGCCGTAGCCCTGAGCAAGCTGAAGGTGCACCACATGTACCAGGGCAGCCAAGTGGAGATCGTACACTCCAACGTGGTGTTTGATATCTGCAGCCTCATGCTCTACGGCACACAGGCCATCCCCATACGCCTCAAGATCCTGCTGGACCGGCTCTTCTCCGTCCTCAAGCAAGAAGAGGTCATCCAGATTCTCAGCGCCCTGGACTGGACTCTGCAGGACTACATACGGGGATACGTGTTGCAGGTGAGACCAGGGACGAAACCAGGGGTGAGATCATGAGTGAGACCAGGGGTGAGAACAGGGGAGGGAAGTAGGGCTGTGTCTGTGATGAGAAAAAAAAGAGACAAGAGATTAGTGGGATTTAAAACTGGGATACCTCGCTTTTTTCTTTCATCAATAATACATGCTGTTTGTACAAAAGAAAGAGCCAAATTAGACCATAACATGTTTTCTTCATCTTGTGGTGCTGGAAGAAAGGGCTTTGGGCTGAGAGCTGATTGGCTGAGTAAGAGTGGTCCTCTCTTTTTCACTTTTGACAAAGGTCAAACGTACTTGATGTGAACATTTGTGATGGAACCAAACTGAAACCAGAGAGAGGCCAAAGAGAAAGAAGCCAGAGAGAGACTAGACCAGGAAGAGAAAGCAGAGGGAGAGAGCAAGGGAGAAAGCAGAGAATGACCAGACAGAGAAAGAGAGAGACCAGGGACTAGGACTAGAAACTAGGAGAGACCAGAGAGAGACCACAGAGAAAGAGACCAGAGAGAGACCAAAGAGAAAGAGACCAGAGAGAGACCAAAGAGAAAGAGACCAGAGAGAGACCTCAGAGAGAGAGAGCGAGACCGCAGATAGAATTACTCAGGTGTAGTTATGTCTGTAGAGTGTTTATTTAATGAAAGACTTCATTACCTAAAATAATCTTTGGTGACTCATTTGATAGATCACAGTTTGAGTATACACACACTCAGATAAGGCCAGAGTCAGCAGAGACACGGCTGAAGAGTGATGATCTGGGGGCAGAGACTGAAGGAATTTTTGACGTAAAGGGAGTTGAGGGGTGAGATGGAGCCACTCTGCTTTTCGGAGCCAACCCCAGTGCGATCCGGGGACATCTCCAAGCAGCTCCGACTACATTTGTAAATATTATGTTTTTGCTTAAGATTTCCTCTAATGATGGAGCCAGAAGCCACAGCAGGCCGTGAGCGCGGGGTCCGGGCGCCTCGCCCCGCCTTCCCCGCCTTCCCTGCCTCTCCCCCACCTCCCGGTCACTGCATGATCAAGTATTCCGGTCGAGGCGCATTTAATTCATGTTAGCTGCTCTAATGGCCGGCGCGGAGTCAGAATCCTCGACAGGCGCTCAGTGGATGCTCTGTGATCAAATATTAAACGTGGTTATGACGTTCAAAGACGACCGGCTCATATGTGATTAGAGCCGGCTGAAGGGGAGGGGGGGAGTGAGCCGGCTGAAGGAGGGAGTGGGAGAGGGAGAGACAACCAGCTTGAAGCGTTTGTTGTAGAGTACATATATATATTTATGATTATTGATGCGGCAGACATAGTGTTGTCTAACTTGTCTAAATATGTCCCACATTTTTATGAACAGAGATTGTGCTCTCGGCCCAAACACAAACAGGTTCTGAGGTTTCAAACTACAGCAGTCAGCGACAGATGCACTTTTATCAGGCAGACTTTTCACAAATCTGGTTGTCTTTTTAAATTGAAAGGACTTCTGACGGTTCGGTAGAGAAAACCCAAACATTATGGTATGAAGTGAACAAAAACCTATATATGTATATACAGGAAACATTTTTGAAACCTTTGGTTAGGTACATATTGAGGGATTCACTATCACGGATGGACAGGCTGTAAATCCAGACCTGAGGCTGTAGATCCAGGACTCAGGCTTTAGATCCAGGACTCAGGCTGTGTGGTGCAGGCCTTAAGAGGCTCAAAAAAGATCCTGTAGCTGTTGGACACATAGACAGGATAAGCATAGGTATGTATTTTTATTTAGCAGCAAAATTCATACTAAATTCTTCCCAAAACAATAAAACAAATCATTTACAGACGAGCAAACCAGAACTGCTTTCATCTTGGAACATCGAGATTTTCAGGAGAGCTGTTTGATGAGCACACCTCTGAAGCTGCTCCTCGGGTTATGGATTCTGTGTCTCTAACGTGTCACGGATGTCGTTTGGTGCAAAGCCATGGATACATTATTAATTAAAGCAGACGTATGTTTTCTCTTCTTGGATATTTTATATTAATCAGAGCTACTTGATGGTTTTACATCTTTTTCATTGGAAACCGTGTTTGCTGACAGGCACCAGAACGGTTTTATTTATGAAAGTTGATGACATCTTTAAAACCAAATATAAAGCATTATTATAAAACAGGATGAAGCATTTGGCTTTCAGACATGGTTACTAATCAGATGTGCCTCATAACTCTTTTAAATCTGGGGTACCTATTTTGCTTTCCATTAATAACACAAGCTGTTTATCCCCAACAGAATGTCCTATTTCTGTGATTGGAAAGTTATATACCTGAGCTTTAGGGAAATAAATAAATACTGGAATGGTATGTATGTTTACAGTGTTTGAAAAGTAAATTATAAAATCCCGCCAACTATACTTTACTCTACTTTTCCCTCCTTGAAAGCGTTTCCCCAGGCCCTGTTTCACAAGCACCAGGTCCTTCTTTAGTCCATCTTGGTCCTGGTCCTCTCCAGGCCAAGCCGATTCTAAAGTGTTCTTACTGACAGTGATTGGCCAGAATACTGCTGGACGCCATGGTCACCAAGGAATTTCCACTAAGACTGGTCTGTTGAGGGTAGGTTGCTAGGGTATGGTACCAGATACTACAGAGTAATAGAAACACAATCAAGTAGAGTAGATTAGAGTACAGGAGAGTAGGAATAGTGGAAACAGACCTAAAGTCCTCCACATGTTGCGGTAATTTAACATATTGTTTTAAGAGCAGGAGAGCAGTATTTGCTAGTTCTTGTGGCTTGTGTTTCTATATAACATGTGATGGGATGCTAAATGAGCTCACCGGGGCGCGTGTCAGCTCTACGGCTCCGACAGAAGCTAACTCCAGTGATTCAAATGAAGAGGAACGACCCCAGAGATGAAACACCACGCTGCCTGCTGCAATTAGCTCCAGCCGTGATTCCTTTATTTAGCTGTGCTGTCACTCCACCTCATGGGTTATGTCATATAAAGCTACTCTGAATATGTATGAGGAAGGATACAAGCACAATACTAATGATCTGATCGCTCCCTCCTGCTCGGCCTAACCTTGCCCTGTCCCCTGGTGCAGCTCTGGCAAGGATTTCTCTGCGCAAAGTTTGTTTAAGAGAAAGTAAATGATGGTTTTGTGTAAAAATATTGGGATAAAGATATTATACTGATGTTGTACTTTGGGTTGCAATGTTGGAGCTGCTGTGATAAAGAGCACAGAAAAATAGATACATATTTTAACAACCTATGGTCTCTCTCTCCGGTCTCTTTTTGGTCTCTCTCTATCTTGTCTCATGGCCACTATCTGGGCTCTCTCTGGCCTCTATCTGGTCTCTCTCTGGTCTCTCTCTCTGCTCTATCTTTGGTCTCTCTCTGGTCTCTCTGGTCTTTATTTTGTCTCTCTCTTTACTCTCTATGATCTCTCGCTAGTCTTTCTATCAAGTCTCCCGCTCTCTGGTCACTCTCCAGTCTCTCTCTGGCCTCTCTCTACTCTCTCTTTGGTCTTTCTCTTTGTAGTCTCTCTGATCCTTCAGTGATCTCTTTCTTGGTTCTCTCTCTGATCTCTCTCTGACCTTTCTGTGGTCTCATGAGGTCTCTTTCTGATCTCTCACTGGTCTCTCTATCTGATGTCCCTCTCTGGTCGCTCGCTGGTCCCCAGCATGTACTCAATCCCTGGAGATCCAGGCCTGAAGCTGTAGATCCAGGACAGGCTGTTCCAACATCCCCCAAATATATACATGTGCTTTTATTTTCTTGTTCCAGGATGTTGCTGGGAAGGTTCTGGACCGTTGGGCAATCATGACGTTCGAAGAGGAGATTGCGACACTGCAGCAGTTCCTTCGTTTTGGAGAAACTAAGTCCATCGTAGAGCTCATGGCTCTTCAGGACAAGGAGGGCCAGGCCGTCCTCGTTCCCAGCACACGTACCAACTCCGACATCCGCACATTCATCGAACGCAACACGCCACGCACCACCGCTAACCTCACCACAGCCAATGTGGACAAGCTCAGTGGGACCAGTATGCACCACTTTGAGAACTTCATAAACAGCATGGCCTTCATGCTACCCTTCCAGCTCCTTGGCTCTGTGCCCACTCCCTTCTTAGGCTCTCAGAACGGCATGCTCCAGGCCCATCAGCCACGCAGCACCTTGGACATCCAGAGGCGAGAGGGAGCAGGTCGGGACAGTCTTTCACAGGACAACCAACTAACTCTCTCACATACAAACAACCATGGCCTGTTGGGGGCCGACAATACGCCATTTGGTTCGGATTTGGATTCAGAAAAGCAGTCAGACGGTCTCCAAGGGACCGGTGTCACAAAAACTGAGCCAGAGGATTTTTCCGCCAGCGACAATTACTCAGACGGGCCCTCGACACCGTGCACTCCTTCATTGAGCTCAGAGGTGGCGCAGATGTCGCCTGAGGGAAAGCTGCGGTCTCTGGATCGGAACGGCCCGAGCGGAGGGGGTTGTGTCATGACGAGCACAGGAGGAGGCGGCTGCATGAGCTCCATGAAGAAAGGGCGCGTGTTCTGCAACGCATGCGAAAAGACATTCTACGATAAAGGCACTTTGAAGATACACTACAACGCGGTTCATCTCAAAATCAAACACAAGTGCACCATCGATGGCTGCAACATGGTGTTCAGCTCGCTCCGAAGCCGCAATCGCCACAGCGCCAACCCCAACCCGCGCCTCCACATGCCCATGAACCGCAACAACAGGGATAAAGACCTGCGCGGGAGCTCGTCGGCAGATGAGAGCTCACAAGAGAAGCGAGATTATGGAAGCCCAATATTAGACAATCACAAGTCCATTCCCAGCTACATGGTGAGCCAAGTGGACAATACATCCAAACTGAGCTCCTCCTTCCCCAGCATTGGTCAAAGCGGGATTCTATTTCCCAATCTGAAAACGGTTCAACCGGTTCTACCATTCTACCGCAGTTTAGTGACTCCGGCTGAGCTTGCAAACACACCAGGAACTCTGCCATCTCTGCCGCTTCTGTCCTCATCTGTGCCGATGAAGACAACCGAGGTGCAGGAAAACTGTTTTTTAGATCCAGTACCAAAGAAGAAGTCACGAAAATCCAGCATGCCGATTAAGATTGAGAAAGAGGCAATGGAAGAGAGCGACAGCCTCATGGACAGAGGCAGCAACTCTGAAGATGAGACAATACATGGGAAAGACCACTTTGACAGTCATCATCTGGCAAGGACAGCTGACTGTGGTGATATGGACAAGCAGAGTGTAGGCGACACACAACTGGAACCCGGAGTGGTCACATGTGCGCCTTTTGAAAAGTCAGAAACGAAAGAAGTGACAGAAGACGCACAAAATGAAATAGCGCCAAACAAGCTATCTGAGCACCGGTGGAACGAGGGCGAACTGACCAATGGGAGCTCGCCCCATAATATGAGCGGGGAAAAGGAAGAACTGGAAGGCTTTGGTGATTCTAACGAGGATCCGGACACGCCACACCACTGTGAGATCTGCAGCAAGATGTTCAGGAGCCCGTACAGTGTGAAGATGCACTACCAGAGCGAGCACCTGAAGGAGATGCACCTCTGCTCCGTGGAGGGCTGCAACGCATCCTTCCCTTCGCGCCGCAGCAGAGACAGGTGATATTTACATCGAGTGGCTTTACTTTTCTCTTCTATAATTCTGTTTTACACTATCGCTACACAACAAGTTTAAATGTTTGTTTGAGGTTTCAAATTGGCATGAGAGTAATACATACAAAAATGCCAGTCTATTTTAACTTTGTATTTCAAACAGACAATGGCTCAAAAGACCAATACTAACCATACCCCTCCTTCCCCCCCATTGACCATATATTAAGTCAAGCATTTAATCGGTAGTCTCTTATCAGGTCCATTATCATGTTTAATGGCCAAAATAATGCATAACATTCCTTCTTTAAGCCAACTAACTCATAAAAAATACCATATAAAACCACCTACACTCACTTGTGGTTTTGGCGGACGAGTGGTTTGTTGAATTGGTGCTTGTACACTGGTTTGCCGCAGCAGTTAATATGAGGTTCTTTGCTTCTGCTTATAAATGTAGGAGCAACAGGGCTACGGGTGAAATGGTTTATTCATGAAGTTTCTGTGTTAAGTCTTGTTCCTGCAACTGAAGTTTGGATCCGAGCCAAAGATGCTCTAAAGACCAATGGTCTATGAACACAGACTGATCATGTGGAGGAGGGAGGATTAGTAGAAGTAGAAGTTACTGGATACATTATTTCTGCTTGAAATTCAGTGATTCATTCATTCAGTAAAGTGGGGTTAGGTTTCACAGCGACAGCAAACGCCAGTGGGAGTAGATGGAGTAGGCCCCAAGGAGGGATTGAACCCACAAGCATTTCAAAATCAGAATTTGATTTTTTTTTTTGTATTGCCATATTTTTTATTGTGGTAGAATCATGAAGTCATTAATGAGGAAGTTAGTTTGGCGCAAGATGACGACACGTTGTATAAAAGTTAAAAATAGATATAAAGACACAATCTTAATAAAATAAGTAATAATACACTTCTACTACTGTAGATATACTATATTTTACTCAAAGTGCTCTACCAACTGATTGATTTACTGATTGATTTATTGATTTAGAACGGGAATTTATTATTGTATGTATTATTGAATGTATTATTCTGTATTATGTATTTTTATATATATATATATATATATATATATTTTATATATATATATATATATATATATATATATATATATATATATATATATATATATATATATATATATATATATATGTATATGTATATGTATATATATATATATATATGTATGTATATATACATTGCCTAGAATGTGGGTGGTGTGTGCGTGTGTGTGTGTGTGTGTGTGTGTGAAAGATTGAATGATTGATGGTGTTCAGAGGGACCGATGGCACATACTGGTTGCCTCACTTCTGTTAGTGTGCCCCAGGGCAGCTATGGCTACAGTAGAAGTTAATCACCACAGTGTATGGCGTGAAAGAATAATTATAATGTGAAGCATTCTTGAGTGTCCTGAAAAGCGCTATATAAAACCAATGCATTATTATTATTATTAGTCTTAAAGCTGCACTAACTGACTTTATTTTTGTATTCATTACGAAAATGCTATCCATGTCCGTGTAGGGCATTGGGATATACGTCCTTTTGACGAAAAAGTAGCGCAGATTTGTGCTGGCGTGACATTATATTTTAGATCGAGTTTTGATGAAACAAGGAAGAGAATGTGTTTCGGGTCGCAGATTGTGACCAATCACCGCGGACCACTGGCCCCCACTTTTGTGAGAAATCTACAGGTCTCCGTTAGCACAGACAGCTGAGTTAGCACAACAAGACGAGGAGCTAACCTGAAGCTTCGTCTCTTCGTCACCGGTTACTGCTTACACAGCGAGACAGCCATCCAAAAGAAAGTCTCGTTCCTCCGCGCTTCCCGGTTCTATCGTTCTATGGTCACGCCATCCACGTGCAAATCCATGTCCATGTATTATCCATATTGGGAGACGCTAGCTTCGTCCCAACAGTGGGTGTGTGTGGGGGGCGATAGCTTCGTGGGTGCGGGGTGGGGAGCAGAAAGAGAGAGGCCAGCGAGTCTGCTGCTTCAAAATCCCAAAGTCAGTTAGTGCAGCTTTAAGGGTCACTCTGAACTCACTTGGGCAAATGGGTTTAATCTTGGTTGGGATGATAACCTGCTTCAACCCTGCCCTTTGAGGACTGAGTTGAATACCCCTGACAGAGATGCTTCCACTAAATCCAGATATTTGAATAAGCACTTTCATCAATCTCCAGTGTTACAGACAATTGAAGAGACAAATCGATGTGGAGTCGCTGAAAATAGGGTCAGAGAGGTCAGATATGGATTTGTATGTCTGTTCTTGTGGCGTGTTTTCAGAGTCTCACAGGCAAAATATGTGAATAAACACCCAGTATTTATTCAACAGTAATCGATGAGTAACAGATAATGTCCACAAATATCGGTTTCTCACCAATAAACACATTAAAACTGTTTAGATAATCCACCTCCTTCAAAAACTACAAGTTTTGCAGGGAGGTATGCAAGACACAAATATATCCTGGATGTTAAAGGAATTTTCAAACCACAGTGTGCCCCAGGGCAGCTGTGGCTTCAGTAGTAGTTTATAACCACCCTGTATGGAGTGAATTGATGATGACATTCTGAGTGTCCAAAATAGCTCTATATAAATCCGATGCATTATTATTATCATTATATAACTAATTCCTCGCATTCAAAACAATTCAGTGTATTTATGTATCACTCTAAATCACTATAGCAGTTGTCGCAGAGGACTTTACAAAGTTGTGGATTCGCTAACAACAGAATATAGAATCAAACCGTTAAAACGCAGGAAATGCATTAAGGAGTCATTGGTCTATTGGGAGTGGGTTGACCACTGTTCATAAATGTTCATAAATGGACATAAATGTCAATGATCATCACTGTCTTTAGAACCTCCTGCATCAGAGAGGAACCACACAGAAACCCAGTGGGGAGAAGTGAGAAACCTCAAGGAGGCCCGTATATAGAGAGAGAGATCTGCTCACACGGACAAACAGGCTATAGATCCAGGACTGAGGGCGTACTGTAGATCCAGGAGAAGTCTTGAGACCAAAACAATTTGCTTCTATCACTAGTTTTCCCATTTGTATTTATTTGTTGCGTCTGTCACATTTCAGCTTTTTCAAAGTGAAATAGAGAGAGAGAGACCAGAGAAAGAGACGAGAGATCCAGCCAATCAACTCTAAGCTCAAAGAGTAAAACACTCATAGTAAATCAAGTAGGCAATAGATAACATGTTTTCTGAGCACGACAGCTGGTTTGTTCACAATATTTTACTCTTTCTGTTGGGGACATGTGTTATTAATTAAGCTAGAATAAAGATACCTCAGCTTTAATCAAATTTCTATCAAGTCTATGTCCCTTTTTTCATCTTTGTTTCAGATTTTTTGTTGTTAACACTTCATAGAGCAAAACTAACTTCCCTTTTCCATTCTTCTGCTCCATCCACAGACACAGCTCAAATCTCAACCTGCACCACAAGCTCCTGACCAAAGACAGCTTCTCCCCAGTGTCTATGTGCCGCAACCCTGCCCTGGAATTCCACTCGGTCCCCCCAGTATCTCTGTGCCGCGACTCTGCCCTGGACTTCCACTCCGACCCGCTGGACTCCAGAGACCCAAATTCCCAGACCTCTGTCATCTTCAGGGGCCATAACCGCATGGGTCTTGTCTACCCCATGAGCAAAGTCCCCAGCCTCTCCACAAGTGATGGGAACTCCCCCATCCGCGATCATCTAGATGATGAGGCAGTTAACGGTGAAGATGGCGCGGTGCTGGACTTGAGCACGTCGTCCTTTGGTCCAACTCGCGGCGGTGACGGCAGCGCTCGCTCGTCCTGGGACTCCGACGGCGCCGCGAGCGAAGAAGGAATGGAAGACCTCGACGCTGTCCCGGTTGAGGACAGCGAAGAAAGCTGTGATGGGATTGTGAGAAGCCAGGATCCAGATGGGACGGTGAACGGGGTTGGATGTGTTGGAGGAGGAGGTGTGAGTGGGCATGCGGGCGGAGCAGGGTCTCCCATCACCTGCCACATGTGTCAGAAGGTCTACAGCAACAAGGGGACGTTCAGGGCGCACTACAAGACGGTCCATCTGCGGCTGTTGCACAAGTGCAAAGTCCCCGGCTGCGAAACGTCCTTCTCGTCCGTGCGCAGTCGGAACAGGCACAGCCAAAATCCCAATCTGCACAGGAACCTGTCCGCGAGCTCAGGGGCCATGGACCAGGAGTAGACTGAAGACTGGGAAGCTCTCTGCAAGCTCAGGGGCCATGGACCAGCATTAGAGACTGAAGACTGAGATTTAACTGTGGATTACTGTGTTTAATGTGTTAATGTTTTGTAATCTGGGCACCAAGATGAAAGCTCATCAACTAGCACTTTTCATATTCTCAAACAGTAAAAGATTAAAGCATAAATATGAACATTTTATACTGTTTTTTGTATTGCCACAGTTGGACTCAAAGTTAAAATGCTCTTAAATTACACAGAACTAAATATGTGCTGATTTTACACTGGTCAAATCACAGAAAATGACTTTGACAATCAACTAGTGTTTTCAGTGATGTCTTATGGCACATTCTTGTATTAATGTCACAATTAGTCTGAATGAACCTTACAGGTAGAATGATGTATTCAAGTCAAATTAAAATAGCTTTTAAATTAAAGGGCTTGTACTCAAAATGGTCAAACTCACGGTTTTGGTCTTAACTCTCGAGTTGGGATTGGCTGGCGAATAGCACAAACAAGAACAGAACAGCGCCTCTCCTGATTGGCTTCTTGCTTCCTAGGTTGTAAGAATTTGGCTTCAGATTCCCACCCATAGATGAGCATTGAACTTCCAAAATAAATGAATCCCTTATCAAATTTGCTTTGCGCTTGAACAAAGTTCATAAACTATTGTATGCTCTGGACTATAAGGAGTACCTGTATACAGGTATATGCCGCATTGAGTACACGCTGTCCACATAAAGGCTATACCGAAATATAAGCTGCAGGTTTCCATGTTGTAATGGACCAGATAGATGATTCATTCAAAACCTACAAAGACACATGGAGAACATGCAAACTCCACTCGGAAATGCATGGCTCAAACTTGGGTACAGGCTTTTTAAGGTTTACAACTATTCCTTTAGATAAAAAACACAGATACAGTATTTATGACTAATAATACTGTGTTCCTTATGAAAGCACAAAAAGAAGGTGATATTGTCCAGTTCCTGTCCACTGTCTCTGTGTCTAAACTGTTGTGACTGTGTTTGTACGTCCTCCCTGTGATTGGATGTATTTTGGACTTTCTTTGAACAAAATCTATGATTTTTGGCTGAAAATATACATGTTGTGATTGATAATTTATTGTATAGTGTTTGTACGGTTTTGGTTGTTGCCAATGTTGACCAAAGACTTCTCCATTCCACAAGTTTGTACAGAAATATCCCTTATAAAAAGTAAGGGCTCTGCAGTATTAGATACAATAACCTCTGTGGAGTTTGCAATCAACGTATTCAAGTCAGAGAAAGACCAGTGAGAAAGAGTGATGAGAGAAAGAAGAGAGAGATATCTGAGAGAGACAAGAGAGAGATCAGAAAGAGACCAGAGAGTGACCAGACAGAGAACAAAGAGGGAGACCAGAGAGAGACCAGTAAGAGATCAGTAAGAGATATGAGAGGGACCAGAGAGACATGTAAATACTTGTTTGACTGATAGAAGAGGATGGTAAAAAGTGTACAAAATGTCTCCTTTGAAAAACCAGCTCTTGTGATGTGGTAGTTCCCTGACTGACTGGAGATGTTCAGTCCAAGAGAGTCCAACCCTTTGTCTGTTCCACCTCCATGTTTCTGCATATTTGTAAATAAACATGTCCAGAAATGCACCATTACTATTCAAATGTGTTTTGTTTTCTTCCTTCTCACAATCAAAACATGAATTTGAATTAGTGGTGACCAGCTGTTACAGGGGGCTGTGGTTCCTGCTTGCTCTAAGAGATGCAGTGGCTTACAATTCAATCTGGAGAGACTCAAAACAGAGAGGGGTTTAGTTAGAATTGTGTATTCGTTGGAATTATTCTGGCACTACTTAAATTAGCATTATGATGTTTGCAAGATTGCATACTGTACAACTAAAATTTGTCAAGATTTGGCGCTTAGACCCTAGCAGAGCACTGCATGAGAAAGCAGATGGGGTAATGATAATATGGACTTTGAGATCAAATCCCCCAGGGTGGTGGGAGCTCATAGAAGGGTGAAAGCTGGTCTGGCCAACGAGATGGAGGTTGGGGAGGAGGAGGGTTGCAGAATGGATGAAAGCTTCTGCTTGAATTAAAGCTTCCTGTACGATAAAGGCCTAATGCAGGCTTTCACACCGGATCATGCGTTGTGTTGATTTTCAATGCAAAGTCAATGGTGAAGCGTGCTCGAGCGTGGAACTGCATGTGCGTCTCGGGATGCACGCACGGACTGCGTGGCAGAGATGTACAGATTGCGCGGCAAAGGCGGAAAATTTTTGAAAGCAGGAGATAAATATTGCTGAACGTTTCCTCGGGACGCTCGTGCAGCGACCCATCAGAGAGCCGCAAAGTGGTCACGGGGACATTAGCGGTCTGAGCGAGCAGACTGAACATGCCAAAACAGGAGCCAAAACAGGAGCTCCACCAGGACTAAACTAGGGTTGAATATGGGGGACATAGTGCTTGTGACCAATGCGTTTTCATGCTCCTGCGACTTTATGCAACTGCTTCGAGCTCTTCCCATGCGGAAGTACCGTTTAATAAAGAAATAAACGTATGGTGCTCCTCCGTGAACACATACTGCTGTTATACAAAGTCTGTGGAAGGTCTCTGAACACAGAGAAGCTGCAGAGTTGCATTATTAGTGTGGCAGGTGTAGGTGTGGTCATGGGTGTGGCCTGGTCACATGACCAAGGCTTTAAAAGACAGGCAACTAGGGCTCACTTCCTCTTCCTGAGCCAGCCTGTTCACAATCAGACTCTGGTGAGCTGAAAGTGTTTAGAGTGATTTTATATTTGTATTGATTGTATATTTTAAAAATACTTTGTTAATGTCTTTTAAGGGTTACAACAGTCCTGTCTTGTTGAGGTATGCTTTTATAAATCTTGTTTGTATTTTATAATTCATTTTATTAATTGCACTGGGTTTTATTCATAGGCCCAGTGCTGGTTGCCGTTTACTTTATATTTAGATTTTGCTTATTTTAGTTTGTGTAGAGTTACTTTGTTGATAGCTGGGGTGACGAGGCTCACTTTAAGTGGTGGCTTTGTTTGTAGTTTTGGTGTAGGTGGCACATGTATGTTTATGGTGATTTCTGTTGTGGGGATGGAATTCTACGACGCCATCTGAAGGATGTGGTAAAACAGGACCCAAGAATGTCATTGATAGAGGTTCGGGAAGAAGCCATTAGATGGTCGGAAAATATTGATGGAGATGCTCACACACAGTTATCCTATGACTGTAATGAGGCTAGTAGTTATGTGAGACCTGCTGCCCCTATAGCGCAAAAACCATCCACAGAGCTCCAGACTATTGCTGAGCTCTTGAAACAGCAACAGACTCAAATCGCTACATTAACTGAGCAGCTTCAATCATTGCAAACCAGTTTAAAACCGAATCCTTCAAAATGGTCAACAGTTAAAAAATGTCTCAGGTGTGACAAAGTGGGCCACATTGCCCGTTACTGCAGACAGCCACTGCCAAGTGATTCACATCAGGAAAGGCCGGTAGTGCAATCAATTCGCTCAGAGTCGTCGGAAAACTCTCACCTTCTGTTGTTTTGAGCCAGACATCAGAAGGAGTTGACCTTGGCTCTACACCAGTGCCTCCTAAACTTCTACAGCAACTGGTGGGCACCTGCTCAGTTGTGGACCTGGCGATAAATGGTGTGAAAGTACCAGCGCTATTAGACACAGGTTCAAATGTGACTACTATCACACACAGTTTCTTTGCTGCTCATTTTGACCCAAGTAAGCATGCTATTAATAACTGTAGGTGGCTTAATTTGACAGCTGCAAATGGACTCGCTATTCCTTACCATGGCTATGTAGAGGTGGACGTGACTGTCCTGGGAATGACTCTACCAGCATGTGGAATACTAATTGTTAAGGATCCACACGGACTTACTGCTTTCTCAAGACAAAAGCGGCATGTCCCAGGACTTCTTGGCATGAACATTATTCAGAGACTCTATGACAACCTCTACAGGGAGCATGGCGTTGCAATGTTCACCATCCCTGAGGTCGCACAAGCAGTTCCTGGCTGGAGAGAAGCTCTTCAACAGTGCCACCTGCTGGAAACTGGAGATGGGACTGCTGGTCAACTGCGGGTACAATCTACTGGACCACTCTTGATCCCTGCAGGCACAACTGTTATGGTCCCAGCTACCGGCCCAAAAGGTAAAGACTACACCACACAGACACTACTGTTAGAGCAAGATCACAGCACTAACCACCTCCCCGCTGGCCTTTTGATCTCAACATCATTAGTGTCTTGTAAAAATGGACTGGCACATGTTCCAGTGTCTAATGTAAGCAGAGAGCCTGTTTATATTCAACCCAGAGTGACTCTAGGTCTGCTTCAGTATGTGTCCGTTGTCGATTATAATGCATCCTCTGTTGTGTTCACGGAGGCTAGTGATGGGCACGGGCAAGTCACAGTGACATGCTCTCAGGTGTCAGCCAATAATGAGCATCCAATGGATTTTGACGCTGTAGATTTGTCTGCATTAACTCATACAGACCAAAATGCTGTAAGGCAACTGCTCACGCAATACTCAACAGTTTTTTCCAAGAACGATTCAGATTTAGGCTGTACATCACTCATTGAGCATCACATTCCTCTCCTTGATGATGTACCGACGAAACAGCGTTATCGCCGCATTCCTCCATCTCAGTTTGAACTGGTTAAGGCCCATATCAGACAACTACTCGACTCAGAGGTAATTAGAGAGAGCTGTAGTCCATATGCTGCCCCCTTAGTTTTGGTTTTAAAAAAAGATGGCTCACTCAGAATGTGTGTCGACTACAGACAACTGAATGCCAAAACGCGAAAAGATGCCTATCCCTTACCACGGATAGAGGAATCATTGGATGCTCTTTCTGGGGCCAAATGGTTTTCTACTTTGGATCTGGCGAGTGGATATAACCAGGTGCCAGTTGCAGAAAGTGATAAACCTAAAACTGCTTTTTGCACACCTTTTGGTCTTTTTGAATTTAATAGAATGGCCTTTGGGTTGTGCAACGCCCCAAGCACATTTCAAAGGCTGATGGAACGATTATTTGGCGATCAAAGCTTCCAGTCTTTGTTGTTATACTTGGATGATGTAATAATTTTCTCTACATCTGTTGAACAGCATCTGCACAGACTGGAGATGGTCCTGAGCCGCCTGCAAAAGGAAAACCTTAAGATCAAACTAAGTAAATGCTGTTTTTTTCAACATCAAGTGAAATATCTTGGACATGTAGTTTCAACAAAGGGGGTATCAACGGATCCTGCTAAAATATCAGCTGTGGCAACATGGAAGCGTCCAGAAACAGTCCAAGAACTGAAATCATTCCTTGGGTTCTGCAGTTACTACCGACGATTTGTCCCTGGCTTCGCACAAATTGCAGGACCACTAAATAACTTGGCAGCGGAACTGTCTCCGAAGAACAGGAACAGTAAGAAAATTACTGTAAAACATCTCTGGACTGAGGTATGTGAAGCAGCATTTCAAACTCTCAAAACCAAACTTACAACAGCTCCAGTGTTGGCATATGCAAACTTCAACAAGCCCTTTATCTTGGATGTGGACGCTAGCCATCATGGCCTAGGGGCAGTATTGTCACAGGAATGTGATGGTAAAATTCGTCCCATTGCTTTTGCTAGTAGAGGTTTGAGAAAAACTGAGAGAAATATGCAAAATTACAGTTCAATGAAATTGGAATTTTTAGCACTAAAGTGGGCTGTCACAGAAAAGTTCAGAGAGTATCTTCTAGGTCACAAATGTGTTGTACATACAGATAATAATCCACTCAGCCACTTACAGACTGCTAAATTGGGGGCAGTAGAACAGAGATGGGCCTCTGAGCTTGCATGTTTTGATTTAGACATCAAATATAAACCAGGGCGCTGTCATGGAAATGCAGATGGTTTGTCAAGACAAAATGTCACATCTGAACAAATAGCATCTGTGGCATCCACTACAATCCTGCCTTTGAGCCTTAGAGGTCCCCTGAAAAGTGACACAGACACCCCTTACACCTGTGTATCTCAAGCAATGACTGTAACACCCTGGCCTCCAGACACGGACATTTCTGTTTTGCAGGCGGAGGATCCCTCACTTACGGAATTCCGTGTCTTTTGGGACAGGGGTAACCAGCCAGACCGACATGAAAGGATGAGTATGTCCCCGATGGTCCTGAAATTGGTGAGGCAATGGGACAGAATTGTCGAAAAACATGGCATTCTGTACAGGCAAGTCTCGCCACCAGAGGGAGGGCCACCAACACATCAGCTGTTGCTTCCACAATGCCTGCAGCTCAAAGCTCTTCAATTTTCCCACGACCAACATGGTCACCAGGGGGTAGATCGCACCCTAGACCTCATCAGAAAACGTTGCTACTGGCCAGGTATGGACCAAACTGTTCAAGCCTATTGCCGAGATTGTGAACGCTGTACAGTGTCAAAAAAGGGAAACTTACATCCGCGGAGCTTTATGGGACATTTACTAGCTAAAAGACCTAATGACATTTTGGCCATAGACTTCACTGTCTTGGATGTATCATCAAATGGTACAGAAAATGTCCTCATAATGACAGATGTATTCTCAAAATACACGCAGGCCATCCCAACAAAAGATCAAACTGCTGATACAGTGGCCCAAGCTCTTGTCAATAACTGGTTCCATATTTTTGGTGTTCCAGGCCAGTTACACTCAGATCAAGGACGTTGCTTTGAAGCTAAAGTAATTCAGCAATTATGCAACATGTATGACATCACAAAAACCAGAACGACACCATACAGGCCTCAAGGCAATGGGCAGTGTGAACGTTTTAATAGGACATTGCATGATTTGCTCCGCACCTTACCACATGACAAGAAAAAACAGTGGCCAAAACACTTATCCCATGTAGTCTTTGCTTACAATACAACAAGACATCATTCCACTGGACAATCTCCATATTTTTTAATGTTTGGACAGGAGCCAAAGCTGCCGATTGACTGCCTGTTGGGAACGATGGAAACCACAGAAGAGTGGACCTATAACCATCGAGATGCCATTGAACACATCTTCCAAGATGCAAGAAATAAATTACAACATGCCGCTACAAGACGAGCCATACGTCACAATGTCAAGGTAAAGCCGGACGTCTTGCAGATTGGCCAGTTGGTTTACTGTCGTGACCATAGTCACAAAGGTCGTCACAAAATACAAGACTACTGGTCCCCAGTGCTGTACAAGGTGCTTCAAAGTCCAGCAGAGGGTGGATCTGTTTACACTGTGACGACAGCAGATGGTAAAGGAAAATCTAAACAAATTCACAGATCAGAAATTCGCCCTGCTCAAGTCACCCAAAACACTACTGAATTAATACCAGATTTGGGGTTCCCTGAACAAATGCTAACTGAACAGGATGATGATTCTGAAATTTCTTTTGTGTTAGTGGAGCAACACCCTGCTGAAAGGATTCAAATGCCTGTACAGCCGGAACCTCCTGCACTGGAACATCATCCTGTTGAAAGGACTCAAATACTTGGGAAGCCTGGACCTCCTGCTATGGTGTCAAAAGCTGCCACTCCTCTAGCAATAGGATTACGCCGCTCTCAAAGGACTACAGCCGGCCAACATCCCAACCCATATAACCTGCCAGGACCGCTCATACAAAAGGGGTTGTCACAAGTGTGTGCAGGTGCCCCTAAAGTGACTTTTCATAGGCCCTGGCTTTGAAGACTTCGACGGGACGTCGATTCAAATCCTAGGGGTATATGTGGCAGGTGTAGGTGTGGTCATGGGTGTGGCCTGGTCACATGACCAAGGCTTTAAAAGACAGGCAACTAGGGCTCACTTCCTCTTCCTGAGCCAGCCTGTTCACAATCAGACTCTGGTGAGCTGAAAGTGTTTAGAGTGATTTTATATTTGTATTGATTGTATATTTTAAAAATACTTTGTTAATGTCTTTTAAGGGTTACAACAGTCCTGTCTTGTTGAGGTATGCTTTTATAAATCTTGTTTGTATTTTATAATTCATTTTATTAATTGCACTGGGTTTTATTCATAGGCCCAGTGCTGGTTGCCGTTTACTTTATATTTAGATTTTGCTTATTTTAGTTTGTGTAGAGTTACTTTGTTGATAGCTGGGGTGACGAGGCTCACTTTAAGTGGTGGCTTTGTTTGTAGTTTTGGTGTAGGTGGCACATGTATGTTTATGGTGATTTCTGTTGTGGGGATGGATTTCTGTTTACTTTTGTGTTTGCTTTTCATATAGACTGCCCCTCACCCCAGCTTCAAGTTTCACTGTTTTAGTTCAATAGTCCCATTTGCTGTTTTTAATACTTATGTAATGTAAATAAAAGCTGCCATAGGGCTGTTGGACCCACTCTGGAACTGTGGCTGGGCGCTCCCTTAGGGTGAGGAGCTCGGAGTAGAGCCGCTGCTTCTCCACGTCGAGAGGAACCAGTTGAGGTGGCTCGGGCATCTGTTCCGGATGCCTCCTGGACGCCTCCCTGGGGAGGTGTTCCGGGCACGTCCCACCGGGAGGAGGCCCCGGGGAAAACCTAGGACACGCTGGAGGGACTGTGTCTCCCAGCTGGCCTGGGAACGCCTTGGGGTCCCCCCGGACGAGCTGGAGGAAGTGTGTGTGGATAGGGAAGTCTGGGCGTCTCTGCTTAGACTGCTGCCCCCGCGACCCGGTAACGGATAAAGCGGAAGAAAATGGATGGATGGATGGATATTTTACACATTGGTAGAGGGCATCACAGTGAACAAGTGTGCAGTAAAAGTAGTCAGGGAACTTTTTTAGACTTCTTTTAAAATAATTTTTAAAAAGTGCCTTTGGGGCCAAAATCCTACACTTTGACCCCAATTTTCTATGAATTTCTACAGTAAAAGTGAATTATATTTTACACAGTGGTAGGGGGCCTCTTAGTGAACAAGTGTACAGTGAAAGTAGTCAGGGAACTTTTTTAGATTTAAAAAAAATGAATTTAAAAAAGTGCTTTTGGGACCAAAATGGCACACTTTGACCCCAATTTTCTATGAATTTCTACAGTAAAAGTGAATTATATTTTACACAGTGGTAGAGGGCATCACAGTGAACAAGTGTGCAGTGAAAGTAGTCAGGGAACTTTTTTAGATTTTTTAAAAATGAATTTAAAAAAGTGCTTTTGGGACCAAAATGGCACACTTTGACCCCAATTTTCTATGAATTTATACAGTAAAAGTGAATTATATTTTACACAGTGGTAGAGGGCATCACAGTGAACAAGTGTGCAGTGAAAGTAGTCAGGGAACTTTTTTAAATTTTTTTAAAATTATTTTTAAAAAGTGCTTTTGGGACCAAAATGGCACACTTTGACCCCAATTTTCTATGAATTTCTACAGTAAAAGTGAATTATATTTTACACAGTGGTAGAGGGCATCACAGTGAACAAGTGTGCAGTGAAAGTAGTCAGGGAACTTTTTTAGATTTTTTTAAAATGATTTTTAAAAAGTGCTTTTGGGACCAAAATGGCACACTTTGACCCCCATTTTCTCTGGATTTCTACAGTAAAAGTGAATGATATTTTACACAGTGGTAGAGGGCATCACAGTGAACAAGTGTGCAGTGAAAGTAGTCAGGGAACTTTTTTAGATTTTTTTAAAATGAATTTTAAAAAGTGCTTTTGGGACCAAAATGGCACACTTTGACCCCCATTTTCTCTGGATTTCTACAGTAAAAGTGAATGATATTTTACACAGTGGTAGAGGGCATCCTGGTGAACAAGTGTGCAGTGAAAGTAGTCTGGGAACTTTTTTAGATTTTTTTAAAATGAATTTTAAAAAGTGCTTTTGGGACCACTTGTGCACACTTTGACCCCCATTTTCTCTGGATTTCTACAGTAAAAGTGAATGATATTTTACACAGTGGTAGATGGCATCCTGTTGAACAAGTGTGCAGTGAAATCAGTCAGGGAACTTTTTTAGATTTTTTTAAAATGATTTTTAAAAAGTGCTTTTGGGACCAAAATGGCACACTTTGACCCCCATTTTCTCTGGATTTCTACAGTAAAAGTGAATGATATTTTACACAGTGGTAGAGGGCATCCTGTTGAACAAGTGTGCAGTGAAAGTAGTGAGGGAACTTTTTTAGTTTTTTTTTAAATGAATTTTAAAAAGTGCTTTTGGGACCACTTGAACACACTTTGACCCCCATTATCTCTGGATTTCTACAGTAAAAGTGAATGATATTTACACATGGTAGAGGGCATCCCATTGAACAAGTATGCAGTGAAAGTAGTGAGGGAACTTTTTTAGATTTTTTTAAAATGAATTTTAAAAAGTGCTTTTGGGACCACTTGTGCACAATTTGACCCCCATTTTCTCTGGATTTCTACAGTAAAAGTGAATGATATTTTACACAGTGGTAAAGGGCATCCCAGTGAACAAGTGTGAAGTGAAAGTAGTCAGGGAACTTTTTTAGATTTTTTTAAAATGAATTTTAAAAAGTGCTTTTGGGACCACTTGTGCACACTTTGACCCCCATTTTCTCTGGATTTCCACAGTAAAAGTGAATGATATTTTACACAGTGGTAGAGGGCATCCCAGTGAACAAGTTTGCACTGAAATCAGTCAGGGAACTTTTTTAGATTTTTTTAAAATGATTTTTAAAAAGTGCTTTTAGGACCATTTTGCACAATTTGACCCCAAATTTTCTCCTAATTTCTACAGTAAAAGTGAATGATATTTTACACAGTAGTAGAGGGCATCTTAGTGAACAAGTGTGCAGTGAAAGTAGTCAGGGAACTTTTTTAGATTTTTTAAAAATGAATTTTAAAAAGTGCTTTTGGGACCACTTGTGCACACTTTGACCCCCATTTTCTCTGGATTTCTACAGTAAAAGTGAATGATATTTTACACAGTGGTAGATGGCATCCCTGTTGAACAAGTGTGCAGTGAAAGTAGTGAGGGAACTTTTTTAGATTTTTTTAAAATGATTTTTAAAAATGCTTTTGGGACCACTTGTGCACACTTTGACCCCCATTTTCTCTGGATTTCTACAGTAAAAGTGAATGATATTTTACACAGTGGTAGAGGGCATCCTGTTGAACAAGTGTGCAGTGAAAGTAGTGAGGGAACTTTTTTAGTTTTTTTTTTTATGAATTTTAAAAAGTGCTTTTGGGACCACTTGAACACACTTTGACCCCCATTATCTCTGGATTTCTACAGTAAAAGTGAATGATATTTACACAGTGGTAAAGGGCATCCCATTGAACAAGTGTGCAGTGAAAGTAGTGAGGGAACTTTTTTAGATTTTTTTAAAATGAATTTTAAAAAGTGCTTTTGGGACCACTTGTGCACAATTTGACCCCCATTTTCTCTGGATTTCTACAGTAAAAGTGAATGATATTTTACACAGTGGTAAAGGGCATCCCAGTGAACAAGTGTGAAGTGAAAGTAGTCAGGGAACTTTTTTAGATTTTTTTTTTTAATGAATTTTAAAAAGTGCTTTTGGGACCACTTGTGCACACTTTGACCCCCATTTTCTCTGGATTTCCACAGTAAAAGTGAATGATATTTTACACAGTGGTAGAGGGCATCCCAGTGAACAAGTTTGCACTGAAATCAGTCAGGGAACTTTTTTAGATTTTTTTAAAATGATTTTTAAAAAGTGCTTTTAGGACCAATTTTGCACAATTTGACCCAAATTTTCTCCTAATTTCTACAGTAAAAGTGAATGATATTTTACACAGTAGTAGAGGGCATCTTAGTGAACAAGTGTGCAGTGAAAGTAGTCAGGGAACTTTTTTAGATTTTTTAAAAATGAATTTAAAAAGGGCTTTTAGGAACAAAATGGCACACTTTGACTCCAATTTTCTCTGAATGTCTACAGTAAAAGTGAATGATATTTTACACACTGGTAGATGGCATCCCAGTGAACAAGTGTGCAGTGAAAGTAGTGAGGGAACTTTTTTAGATTTTTTTAAAATGAATTTTAAAAAGTGCTTTTGGGACCACTTGTGCACACTTTGACCCCAAATTTTCTCTAGATTTCTACAGTAAAAGTGAATGATATTTTACACAGTGGTAGAGGGCATCCCAGTGAACAAGTATGCAGTGAAACTAGTGAGGGAACTTTTTTAGATTTTTTTAAAATGATTTTTAAAAAGTGCTTTTGGGACCAAAATGGCACACTTTGACCCCCATTTTCTCTGGATTTCTACAGTAAAAGTGAATGATATTTTACACAGTGGTAGAGGGCCCCCCAGTGAACAAGTGTGCAGTGAAAGTAGTCTGGGAACTTTTTTAGTTTTTTTTTAAAATGAATTTTAAAAAGTGCTTTTGGGACCACTTGTGAACACTTTGTCCCCCATTTTCTCTGGATTTCTACAGTAAAAGTGAAAGATATTTTACACAGTGGTAGAGGGTATCCTGGTGAACAAGTGTGCAGTGAAATCAGTCAGGGAACTTTTTTAGATTTTTTTAAAATGAATTTTAAAAAGTGCTTTTGGGACCACTTGTGCACACTTTGACCCCCATTTTCTCTGGATTTCTACAGTAAAAGTGAATGATATTTTACACAGTGGTAGAGGGCATCCTGGTGAACAAGTGTGCAGTGAAAGTAGTCTGGGAACTTTTTTAGATTTTTTTAAAATGAATTTTAAAAAGTGCTTTTGGGACCACTTGTGCACACTTTGACCCCCATTTTCTCTGGATTTCTACAGTAAAAGTGAATGATATTTTACACAGTGGTAGATGGCATCCTGTTGAACAAGTGTGCAGTGAAATCAGTCAGGGAACTTTTTTAGATTTTTTTAAAATGAATTTTAAAAAGTGCTTTTGGGACCACTTGTGCACACTTTGACCCCCATTTTCTCTGGATTTCTACAGTAAAAGTGAATGATATTTTACACAGTGGTAGAGGGCATCCCAGTGAACAAGTAGGCAGTGAAAGTAGTGAGGGAACTTTTTTAGATTTTTTAAAAATGATTTTTAAAATGTGCTTTTGGGACCAAATGGCACACTTTGACCCCCATTTTCTCTGGATTTCTACAGTAAAAGTGAATGATATTTTACACAGTGGTAGAGGGCATCCTGGTGAACAAGTGTGCAGTGAAAGTAGTGGGAACTTTTTAGATTTTTTTTAAAATGAATTTTAAAAAGTGCTTTTGGGACCAAAATGGCACACTTTGACCCCCATTTTCTCTGGATTTCTACAGTAAAAGTGAATGATATTTTACACAGTGGTAGAGGGCATCCTGGTGAACAAGTGTGCAGTGAAAGTAGTGAGGGAACTTTTTTAGTTTTTTTTTAAATGAATTTTAAAAAGTGCTTTTGGGACCAAAATGGCACACTTTGACCCCCATTTTCTCTGGATTTCTACAGTAAAAGTGAATGATATTTTACACAGTGGTAGAGGGCATCCTGTGAACAAGTTTGCAGTGAAAGTAGTCTGGGAACTTTTTTAGATTTTTTTTAAATGAATTTTAAAAAGTGCTTTTGGGACCAAAATGGCACACTTTGACCCCCATTTTCTCTAGATTTCTACAGTAAAAGTGAATGATATTTTACACAGTGGTAGAGGGCATCCTGGTGAACAAGTGTGCAGTGAAAGTAGTGAGGGAACTTTTTTAGTTTTTTTAAAATGAATTTTAAAAAGTGCTTTGGGACCAAATGGCACACTTTGACCCCCATTTTCTCTGGATTTCTACAGTAAAAGTGAATGATATTTTACACAGTGGTAGAGGGCATCCCAGTGAACAAGTGTGCAGTGAAAGTAGTGAGGGAACTTTTTTAGATTTTTTTAAAATGAATTTTAAAAAGTGCTTTTGGGACCAAAATGGCACACTTTGACCCCCATTTTCTCTGGATTTCTACAGTAAAAGTGAATGATATTTTACACAGTGGTAGAGGGCATCCCAGTGAACAAGTTTGCAGTGAAATCAGTCAGGGAACTTTTTTAGATTTTTTTAAAATGATTTTTAAAAAGTGCTTTTGGGACCAAAATGGCACACTTTGACCCCCATTTTCTCTGGATTTCTACAGTAAAAGTGAATGATATTTTACAGAGTGGTAAAGGGCATCCCAGTGAACAAATGTGCAGTGAAAGTAGTCAGGGAACTTTTTTAGTTTTTTTTTAAATGATTTTTAAAAAGTGCTTTTGGGACCACTTGTGCACACTTTGACCCCCATTTTCTCTGGATTTCCACAGTAAAAGTGAATGATATTTTACACAGTGGTAGAAGGCATCCTGTTGAACAAGTGTGCAGTGAAATCAGTCAGGGAACTTTTTTAGATTTTTTTAAAATGAATTTTAAAAAGTGCTTTTGGGACCACTTGTGAATACTTTGACCCCCATTTTCTCTGGATTTCTACAGTAAAGGTGAATGATATTTTACACAGTGGTAGAGGGCATCTTGTTGAACAAGTGTGCAGTGAAATCAGTCAGGGAACTTTTTTATATTTTTTTAAAATGAATTTTAAAAAGTGCTTTTGGGACCAAAATGGCACACTTTGACCCCCATTTTCTCTGGATTTCTACAGTAAAAGTGAATGATATTTTACACAGTGGTAGAGGGCATCCCAGTGAACAAGTATGCAGTGAAAGTAGTGAGGGAACTTTTTTAGATTTTTTTAAAAAGTGCTTTTGGGACCAAAATGGCACACTTTGACCCCCATTTTCTCTGGATTTCTACAGTAAAAGTGAATGATATTTTACACAGTGGTAGAGGGCATCCTGTTGAACAAGTGTGCAGTGAAATCAGTCAGGGAACTTTTTTAGATTTTTTTAAAATGAATTTTAAAAAGTGCTTTTGGGACCACTTGTGCACACTTTGACCCCCATTTTCTCTGGATTTCTACAGTAAAAGTGAATGATATTTTACACAGTGGTAAAGGGCATCCCAGTGAACAAGTGTGCAGTGAAAGTAGTCAGGGAACTTTTTTAGATTTTTTTAAAATTAATTTTAAAAAGTGCTTTTGGGACCACTTGTGCACACTTTGTCCCCCATTTTCTCTGGATTTCTACAGTAAAAGTGAATGATATTTTACACAGTGGTACAGGGCATCCTGTTGAACAAGTGTGCAGTGAAATCAGTCAGGGAACTTTTTTATATTTTTTTAAAATGAATTTTAAAAAGTGCTTTTGGGACCACTTGTGCACACTTTGGCCCCCATTTTCTCTGGATTTCTACAGTAAAAGTGAATGATATTTTACACAGTGGTAGAGGGCATCCTGTTGAACAAGTGTGCAGTGAAATCAGTCAGGGAACTTTTTTATATTTTTTTAAAATGAATTTTAAAAAGTGCTTTTGGGACCACTTGTGCATACTTTGACCCCCATTTTCTCTGGATTTCTACAGTAAAAGCGAATAAAATTTTACACAGTGGTAAAGGGCATCCCAGTGAACAAGTGTGCAGTGAAAGTAGTGAGGGAACTTTTTTAGATTTTTAAAAAATTAATTTTAAAAAGTGCTTTTGGGACCACTTGTGCACACTTTGACCCCCATTTTCTCTGGATTTCTACAGTAAAAGTAAATGATATTGTACACAGTGGTAGAGGGCATCCCAGTGAACAAGTGTGCAGTGAAAGTAGTCTGGGAACTTTTTTAGATTTTTTTAAAATGATTTTTAAAAAGTGCTTTTGGGACCACTTGTGCACACTTTGACCCCCATTTTCTCTGTATTTCTACAGTAAAAGTGAATGATATTTTACACATGGTAGAGGGCATCCTGGTGAACAAGTGTGCAGTGAAAGCAGTCAGGGAACTTTTTTCGATTTTTTAAAAATGAATTTTAAAAAGTGCTTTTGGGACCAAAATGGCACATTTTGACCCCCATTTTCTCAGAATTTCTAGAGTAAACATGAATGATATTTTACACAGTGGTAAAGAGCATCTCATTGAAGAAGTGTGCAGTGAAAGTATTGTCAAACCTCTTTTTGTTCTTTTTTAATGATTTTTTAAAAGATATAGCATTTTGCTTTCTCGTCGTCACGGCTTCCCTTTCCACATTTACCGTAAGTAACAGCATAAAAGAGCCAACCGCTTTCAAAGTGCGGACCTCTTTACCGCTCGCGACGAAATGCAGGGCCACTTTACCGCGGTATAGAATAATATGTATTAATATCTCTAAAACTAAAAGAGCATATTCAAGTTTTACAACAAAAACGACGTCATATGCGTGTCCATTATGCGTAAAAGCACAGTGCCCTCAGCAAAACCACGTATTTGGAAAAACTATAGGCTAACAGATGTAGTAGCTCTAGTTTCAATCGTCCTCATTTTATTCAGTCAGACTTGTCAAATATAGATGCCCATGGGAGAGTGAGCAAGGGGAGATAACATGCCCATAACATGCCCAAAAATATCCTGCATAGACTCAAGCTGCGATCAGCTGAAATATGAGCACACAAAGAGCGAGAGGGAAAAAGAAAAGTAAATAGGCTTAGGCTAGTTAGTATTTTTCTCTCACAAAAGTTGGCGCGGATCATATGCCATCTTTCGTGGAGGAGGAAACATCAAACATCAAAGGGCGCACGCGGGGAACAGCGGCACTGGTCTCGTTGTTGAAGTCCCGATGTTCCCCCACTTCTATTGGCGGGGGAACATCGGACCCGGGGAACATCGGGACTTTTTAATACGCGAAGTACCGATGTTCCCCGGGTCCGATGTTCCCCCGCCTATAGAAGCTAATCAGCTCTCGACTCGATGAAAAAGATATGAAGACTTTGCACTGCCAATGTCACTTTTTTTTAAATTGTACATACGGCATTTACATATATTTTCTTTCTACTCCTTTTGAGCGTCTTTCTTCTCCTTTTGAACATGAACAAGTGTTGAGTCTTGTTGTTGACATTGTTTCTTTTTTTGTTGTTGTCTTGTATGTATTCTTTTTGTTTTGTTCTTACTCTGTTGTTTTTATTCCTTGTTCAAATAAACATTCATTCAATTTAGATATTTTATTTTCCTAACCCTGTCGCACTTCCGGCGGTGTTCTGGAAGCTTGCCGCCGCTGGTCTGGTCGCCTCAGCCTCTGGAGACCGATGGAGACCTGGGAACTCTCTGTCTTTCGCCTCTCCCTGGCTCATCTTTAACGCATCGTCTCTACCCACGTTTCCCCCCGAGTCTGCGACACCTGCCCCCGGTTCAAGATGTCCGTGGCCGGGCTGAAGAAGCAGTTCCACAAAGCGAGCCAGGTAAGCTAACTATTACATTAGTAGCTTTCACCTCCAGAACAGCTGCTTTATTAGAATGTTTCTGCTGTAATAACGCTGTTCATCCACAACATACACAAGAAACTGTCTTATTTGCTTGATCCAACTTTTCTCAAACACTTTTATGGCAATATTCCAGCCATATTCCTCAGGTTAGTGCAGCGTGACGCGAAACCTCTATTGAATAATATGTCAATTCTTGAATCCATTACGCACAAGTGGCGAAAACTTGCGTCAGTGTTCCAGTTGTGGGCTGATTACGAAACAGAAGCCTTGTGCAAAGTTCTCGGCTTTGATAAACACGTGCAATCGGGTTCAATCACGGAGAAAAGTTCATTAGTCTGCTCCTTGTTGTCGTCTGAGTTGCACCTTGCTCCCACAGCAATCTCTGGAATCCACAAACACAGAAAATGCCATTCAGTGAGATTGATGAAACTTGCGAAGTAGAAACTGTAAAAAAAAACTCTTAACATTCGCTTCGTGAAGAAAGCAATGTCATTTTTTAATATGTAGGAGCACTTATAACACACATATTTTGAACCCCTGTTTTTATTATTATTAAAGCCAAATGGTTGAGATTAATGGTAAAATGGCCTAAAACCAAGTGAGCTGCCCCAAAGAGGAATATTTCAGTTCCAAGCATGCTTCAGGTAGATATAGTGACTCAAAAAGTGATCTATCAAATGGTTGAGGAAACTTTTAAAGCATATCTGGTGTGATATAGAGCTTCTATAAACGTATGATTAAGACCAAGAGGGTGCCAGCTTGTATTGTTACATGGGAAACCTAACAGGCTATTCTATAACGTCTCCTGGGACTCCACACAAGAGCCTGTCTGCACAACAAGATAAATGACAAGCCTCAGTGTTCAAGCTTTACTATGATTGTTGGAACTAATATAGCTAACATACTATTAACTCTAACTAAAACACTGGAGTATTTTTTTTAGTAGTATAGTATTATGCTGTTGATTTGTTTTTGGTTTGGACTTTAATGGTGTTACAAAAACACGCCTGTACACTGTTCCGTTTCAAAGAGCTGTTTTAATATCGAAATGGCTCAGATTTTTCGGAATGTAAAGTCCATAGTTGTTATTTATTGTATATTGTTGATGCTACTGTTCTCTGCCCTTGTATCCCTGGGTAATATATAGATTGTGTCCCATAGGAATGTTGCGTGATTGCTGGTGATAAGAGACCAGAAAGCAGCACCTTCTTCTTCAGTTTGTTCCAACTCTTTAAACAGAGATGTTTGATGCTGGTATAGAACTGTTGGAAGTTTCTTGTTATTGCATCATGTTGGATTGACCTTATTTGGATTTAAACGGGGCCCAAGAGTCTAGGTTAATTTTTTTTGTGACGCTGTTAAGTTCTTTTTAACAACCTGATTTGTTTTTTTGTCCCATTGCAGGTCATTAGACAGAGTTAATCCCAGAAATTTGCACTCCTCTATAATCTGCAAATTGGAGTTATCAATAACAAGAATGTGAGAACTGTTGCGGCTAAAATCAAATACAAGTTCACATGTTTTAGATGTTTTGGAAACATTATCACACATGTATTTAGTGGTAGGGGAAACTAGAGCATCTGGAGGACACTTAATGCAGACACGTGTCTGTAAAGAGCATGAAGGCTATGGTGATGTCACACTAGGTCTACTAACAGAGACTCTTTTAGTCTCTGTTTTAGATCAGGCATGGACATTGGACATGCCTGATCTAAAACAGAGACTAAATGAGTTTATGAAATGGGCGTTTTGAGCTCTGCCAAAGTAAGGACAAGAACATTGTCAAAAGCAGTGAGAGATGTGCATGTTACTTCCCCTTCAAACCAAGAGTGTCGGTTCTCGTCAGAGTTCTCCCACACAGGGTTTGCTTCAGCTGGTGTAACTGTAATTTTATGAGTCAAACCAATGAGGCGTCTTGTACAGTCAGGAGCAATGAGGACGTTATGACGACTGTGACGATGGGAAGTGTCCGCAGCACTGACCTTTGACCCTTTAGCCTACACACAAACGTCAACACAAAGCTTTGTACACACATGAGTAGGACTACTACGGCAATAAATGCCTTTTTTGGACAATAAACTGCAGTCATTTTAATGATAGAACACATGAAAATAATACTGTGCTGTTCTCACGCACGCTCGCAGATTTAGTCTATCTCATTTATGATACTTTTGAGATCCAGCAACATAACCATTTGTTTATGGGCTGTTAGTACTTCGCTCCTGATATGACTTGACTTCATGGAGTGTGTTTTTTTGGGGAGAGGAAAACTCACAGGGGATGGAAGCCGCAATATTAGAGAAGTTCAAGGTGTAAAACTTTGTGTGCGTCTGTGCTACGAGTTCACTTAGCGTAGTGTGTGTGAGACAATAGTACAAGTGTGTGTGTGTGTGTGTGTGAGAGAGAGAGAGAGACTGGTACGTATGTGTGTGTGTGTGACTATGGTTAAAGCAGGGATCAGCCTCCAGGAAATGAATTAATGTCGAAAACAACATTCAAATCTCCGAACAAGGACAATGTTATGGAGATATATTAGACCTGACTCTTAACCCAACCATTCTGAGTTTGTAAAAATTACAAGAAACATGGCACTCCATTCTCCTTTTGTGTCTAGTTACCCGCTCTCCCCTGGTCCTTCTCTCGACTGCACAACTTTGTAAAGTCATCCAAGACGACTACTGTTGTGATTTAGGGTGATACACATCCATTTAATAGAATTGAAATGGTCTGGGACCATGCACTATATTAATACATATTTCTTACTTTTGGTTGACTCTGCTTGACCTGCAGCATTAAAGATGATACCCATTGGAATCTACACGTTTTGACCCAGTTCGATCACAGCAGTTGTGTTGTGATTCCAACACGCTGGCTGCTGTGATTGAACTGGGTTGGGATTGTTTGATCTCTGCGGTGGCCTCTGTGAGATGGGGCTGGCGTATCCTGTTCCAGTCGGTCAGGTACCTACACTCTCAGGAAACAGCTGAAGCACCAAAGCCTGTTCTGATGTGGCCTGCTCACAGAGTCACTGCTATGTGGTGGAGATGAGAGCGTTTAATCTTCTGTGCTTATACTCAGGAAGTCAGGAAGCACCTGTGTTTATGAATCTACGCTGAGCAAATCAAACGGAAGCAAAACACTGCACAAACTGATCACAAACAAGGGAATACTGGCTTGAATTGTTTTTGTTTTTATATACCTTGGGTTGAGAATATCTTGACCATAATAAAAACATATATATATATACTTTAGGCCGATATTGTAGTCAAAGACTGTTCAAATAGTGTTGTTTTTTGTTAATGTATTATCTGACAAAGAGATAGAAGGAAATCTGATTAGTTGAGGTAAACCTCAGAAACTGGACCAGAGAGAGACTGGAGAGAGAGAGACTGGAGAGAGAGAGACTGGAGAGAGAGAGACTGGAGAGAGAGAGACTGGAGAGAGGGAGACTGGAGAGAGGGAGACTGGAGAGAGGGAGACTGGAGAGAGGGAGACTGGAGAGAGGGAGACTGGAGAGAGGGAGACTGGAGAGAGGGAGACTGGAGAGAGGGAGACTGGAGAGAGGGAGACCGAAGAGAGAAAGACCGGAGATCAGTTTTTTCAAACATGCTCTGCCCTCAGCCCAAAGCGTCAAATAGTGACACACAGGGCTCTTAGTTGCAAGTATGCACAAGCAAACCTGCTGATATGTTGTGGTATAATTGTATTATTTAGGATAAAGGTTAGGTATCCCAAGTTTTGTGTAGATAATTATTCTCAAGATGGGCTAAGTGAGTTAGCACTATTGCATGGAGTTTGCATGTTCTCCCCGTGTCTGCATAGGTTCCTTCCAGGTGCTGCAGTTTACCCTACCACTAAATACACTCTCTTTCTCTGGTCTCTGGTTCTCCTACCACTAAAAAAAGGTAAACTTGTTAAACAAGTAACCTTGTTACTACGGCCTTCGCAGCTCCTGACAGAGGGCGAGTGCAGGACGGGTCAAATGTAGAAAACGCATTTTCCTACAGGGACAATTACGAACTACTTGTGAACAGAACATAAGTTTCAACGTCTTGGGGCTGAGTCTCAAATGTTAAATGACGGTAGTCCGGCTTCGGTCGGTTCTCCTCTTTAACAGTTTATAGTATTTCTATAAAGAGGCAGGACTGTGGATCCAGGACTGAGGCTGTGGATTCAGGACTGAAGCTGTGGATCACAGTTCTCATAAAAATCCCACATTAGCACATTTGAATGTCATTCTACGTCATTGAAACAGTAAATGAAGAGGAGGAGGATCCCAGTATAAAATTTAGAAGTCTTTTACTGTAGGAGACCTGTAGAGTCTACTGGTAGAACCATTTGTAGTGAAAGCAAATTATTAATTGATTCGGGTCTGAACAGTTTCTCTCTGAGCTGGAGACTCAGAAACCATCCGAAACTCTACTAATAGCTGCATCAATTATTAACCAGGAAAATGACTGAGGCTGTTGTAATGTGTGACTTTAGTGACACAGATGCTCACTGTAGCTGCAAACTCACACAACACTGAGAGGAAACAAATCCCCAGTTTTCTGATGTCCACAGGTACTTATAATATCTAACATTAGAGACTAGTGTCCATAAATCAAGAATATACTGTAGTCAAAGGTATGAGTATATCCCAAACCAAGGAAACCCTCTGAGAGTAGTGAAGGTTTAAGTACTTTGAACATCTCACAGAGCACTGTTCAATCCATTATTCACACATGGAAAGAGTAGGGTAACACTGCAAACCTACCAAGACATGGCCCTTCATAACATTTACGTGTTAATTAATAATAATATACTTTATATTATCTGGATCCCTGGAATACCGGGACCGCGGTGTATGGCACTATGAGCCTTTCCGTAGTCTCTGAGTCCGCTGAAGTTGCCATGCGGGCGCACGCCAGACAAAGTCTGAAGTGTGGGCCTATTTTGGATTTTTAAATTATGCCGAGGGACATCTGATGGAAGAC